GGCAAAACCGAAACCTTACACCCCAATACTGCAGCCATAGTAGGTAACCTAGTAACCGCCCCCACTGGAATAAGCTCCGACTTCCGCAAGTTAACACGAAGGCCCGAAACCACCTCAAAACAAAGCAAAACACATTGCAGATAACAAACTTGCACTGCTTTCGCATCACAAAAGATCAAAGCATCATCCGCATATAACAAATGCGAAACCCCCAAAGGAGCCCCCGCCAATGAACCCACAACGAAACCTTCCAATAAACCTTCGCGCACAGCTTTATCCAACAATCTACTCAATGCCTCCATCACTAAGATAAATAGCAGGGGGGACAAAGGATCCCCTTGCCGAAGACCTCGATATGTTTGAAAGAAACCCGCCGGAGTCCCATTAATCAACACCGACATCCGCACAGTCGAGATACAGAATTTGATCCACTGACACCAAGTCGCCCCGAAGCCTATACGATCCAGTACATACAAGAGGAACTCCCAATTAACATTATCATACGCCTTCTCAATATCCAATTTGCAAATCAAACCAGGACGCCCCTGACGAATCCAAGAATCCACACATTCATTGGCAACCAATACTGCATCTAAGATCTGCCTCCCCTCAACAAACGCATTCTGAGACTCTAACACTACAGTTGATAAAAATCCTCGAAGACGATTTGCCAACACTTTAGCCAATAGCTTATACACACTCCCTAATAAATTAATAGGCCTAAAATCCCGAATATCGTCAGCCCCTCCTTTCTTAGGAATCAAAGCCAAAAACGTTGCATTGAAACTCTTCTCAAAATGCCCAAACAGCAGGAAATCCCCCAAAGTTGCCATGATATCACCCTTAACCACGCTCAAACAATGTTGGAAAAAAGCCATAGTAAAACCATCCGGACCTGGGGCTTTATCCCTGCTCATAGCCCGCAAAGCTCCAAACACCTCCTCTTCTGTAAAAGCTCGCTCCAACTTCTCCCGATCTTCTCCCAGAATCGTATCAAACTGAACACCTTCCAGGCCTGGCCGCCAAACCCCCTCTTGTGGCCGGAATAAATGCTGATAGAAGCCCACAACCCCCTCCCTAATATCTCCATCTGTGTGCAACTCCCGACCATCCACCCACAACCTGCTAATCTGATTAACTCTTTGATGAGCATTAGCCATACGGTGAAAGAATTTTGTATTTCTATCCCCATCCTTTAACCACAAACATCTAGACTTTTGACGAAAACAAACCTCCTCCATACGGGATAAACAAACAAAATCCTGTCTAGCCGCCTCCTTATGAATACCGGCCTCAGTAGACAGCCCATCTTGTGCCTCCAAATCATCCAAGGATTGAAGTAAAGACACCACCGCAGCTTTTTGGCCCTCTAGCCGACCAAACACTTCCTTATTCCAATTTTTTAAGGCAGCCTTCAACATCTTCAATTTTTGAGCCAACACACAACTAGGAGAACCACGAACCACGTAGCTATTCCACCAACCACGAATCAACTCTAGAAAACTCTCTTGTTGCAACCACATATTCTCAAAACGAAATGGCGTAGAACCACGTCGGATCCCCCCACTATCCAACAAAATGGGCCAATGATCAGACACAGGTCGAGGTAAACGAAGCTGAACCACCTCAGAAAAGTGCTCCTCCCAGCCCACAGTAACCAAGAACCGATCAATTCGAGACAAACTCTGGCCATTTGACCATGTGAGGCTACCCTCCTAGATAGGTAAATCAACCAACTGTAAATCATCAATGAAAGAACAGAAAACCCGCATTGCCCCCGAACTCCTCGCGTTCCCCGCCTTCTCCGATGGCCAACGAACAACATTAAAATCAACCCCTACACACCAGGGGACATCCCAGCGAAAGGCTATGTTCTCCATCTCCTCCAAAAACAAACCCCGCTCTGAATCCTGCATAGGCTCATATACCCCAGTAAAACCCCACCGAAAATTATCGTCCACACAACGGAACAAACATGAGACCGAAAATCCTCCTATCTCCTCCTCCTCCCTCGCCACTACCCTCTTATCCCAACAGAGAAGAACCCCACCTACCGTACCTAACGAGGGCAAAAAGGTCCACTCCACAAACCTCCCCTCCAACACCTCGCGAATCAGCTCCACTCCCACCACTTCCATCTTTGTCTCTTGTAAACATACAATGTCCGGTTTGGCACTCCGCAACACTGCCTTCATCGCCACCCTCTTATCATTCAACCCCCGTACATTCCACGATACAATTTTTAACTTCATTTCAATAACAATGGGCCCCTCCGATCCCTCCTTACACCCCGTTCTACATTCCTCACACCATGATCATATTTCACAAAACATTCCAAATTTTTAAGCTCCTGATTTCCTTTAGAAGGGGGGTCACCAATGACCAAGACACCCCTAGACTGGGAGTCTCTTGCCTCCATAAAGCCTCCACTACCGCAAAAAGTCGCATTGCCTCATCTTCGTGGCCTTCAAATGAGAAGCCCAAACAACAACTAACTTCACTAATCCGATCCAACACCCACTGGGACACAACTTCAGCCGAAGGGACTTTTTCCCCCGATAATCCCCCAGTATCCTCAAACCTCAGTTTTTGTTTGAAACAAGTGACCAATTCACTATCCAACACTGCTAAGGGCTGCAGCTCCAAGGCCTGCGACTGTCCCGCACTCTCGTGCCCTTCCCCACCAACTGGGACATCGCAAGACATCTCTAACACCAATTGGGACTATCGCTCAACCGACTCTGAGGCCGCCAACTGAGAAGTATCTCTTTTCGACGCCACTAGCAGTCGCGACCCTTGTTCATCCGCAGATGGCGCATCGCGAGGCATCTCTAGCTCCAATTGGGATTGTCGATCATCTAACTCTGAGGCCAACGACTGTGAAGTGCCACTCTCCGACGCGTCTACCAGTCGCGATCCTTGTTCATCAGTAGATGTGACACGGTGGATCACCAACTCTAGTCCGGACGACGACACAGATCCTCGCCGATGACCCCCTGCCTCTAACGAAGGCACCCGACCCGACCCGACCCGACTCACTTGGATGTAGGTGACAGGAAGCCCTACAACCTATCCCACCCTCAAACTGACCCACAACAGGGTTTGCAAGACTATTGGGCCGCTCAGAGAAGTCCAAATCACCACCCCCTATTAGACTTGAAAAGCCACCCCCTTGTGGGCTTGACTGATAAGCCACAGACCTCACCCCCTTAACCACTTGGGCCCCCAGATGAGTCCCCTTATTTTTGGACACAACCCACCTACGTTGGCCCACCTCTCCATTACCAAGTACCTGGGCCTGTCTCCAGCCCAACTGCCCTCTCTTAGACCACCTTGGATGACCCACCGATGCCCCCACATGCTGGGTAATATTACCTTGAAAACCCATAGGTCTCGTCTCTCTCCTAAATCTTTGCAGATATTCATTCACCCCCAATCTCGGCTGAAAATCCTGCCCTAGTTGCCCAAAATTCGTCGTTTCCATATTCGGCCCAGAATCCCCATCTTTCTCGGTCGCCGGCGCCCACAGTTCCACCCCCGGATCAGCTTCAACCCAAACTGGCAGTGAAAATTGCCACATCCCCCACCGGAAAGAGAATCGCGAAGGCGTAAACTCTGAACATCGAACACGAATCCGAATGGAACCTAGATCCACTAATGACTCATCCACCTTGATGAAGCCACCACAACGATCGTCAATGAAACGAAACACCGCCTCCCCACGGAGATGAATAGGCAGACCCATCAGCCGAATCCACACACTCTTCTCAGGCCGCGAAGTCTTTTCCGAAGTACAGAGAGCTAGTGGTGACCACCACTCCAACAATAAATCACCCCTTCACTATCCACCGCCGTCGCAATAGCGCTTCCACCTCACTTCTGCTGGACAAAACGAACAAGAAGGCTTTATCCCCCAAAGGTCGCGTCCACCTTCCCCGAATGCTTTCACCACCGTCCAACCCAATCAGAAATGGTTGCGAAACTCAAACCCTTGCCCCCCAAACCCCCCATCTCACCCACTAGCGACCTATCCAAGATCCGGAACCAATCCACCTCCACCTCAGAGCAAGCAACCCCTACGGACTCACATTCGGCGAAAGAAGTGGATGAAAGCTTCCTGACTCCAATGGGTTATGAGGCCTTCGCAACGCATAACCCAAAGCAATCGAGAACCAACGCCACCCCTTCCCAGCCATCACCGAACACAGACACAGGTATGTAGACTTGTTCGCGTCGCTGCCCTGTGGTAACCACAATTTGAAAAGATGTCCCCCCACCTTCCTCACCTCGTACCCAGACCGCTGTAGTCCGACTACCCCCACTAAGACGGCCCCAAAACTTTAGGCTACTGGGTTCCTTAGATGCTAACCTCATCCTGCCCACCATCCATCGAACTTCCGAACCATTCAGCACCACCGCCCGTCGTAACCCCTCCCCCCTCTCAACAATCGATAGCCGGCACTTACCATCCGCTCCGTCCGACTCCTCCTCAAACTCAAACTACCGGCCACCAAGAAACAAAATCCGCCGGCGTGGCCCAACTTCTTTCCTTACTGGGAACATTATCACGATTGTTGCTCTTCTACTTACTTGAAGATAGTTTACGACGCCTAGATTGAATTTTATTAAATCTTTCAATTTCTTGTTGAAATGAAGAAATGTCTGACTCAAATTCCCAATAACATTCATCATAGGGAAGCTCTTTCCATTTAACAAAATACTCCTTTGCACATGTATGTTTTTGGGTATAAATGTATACATATGCAGAGTCTTGTATGGATGCTGCACATATCATTGGATTTACTCTCAAAATATAACAATCCTAATGTGATTGTATTTCTTCTACTCAAAAAGGGCAAACCTATTAGGTGGCCTACACCAACTCAACAATATGAACCGGTTAAGTGCAAGATATATAAATAACTTTCTGCAAAAATATAAACTTAATGAAGTCATAAGACAAATGAAACGTGCCGCCTTACATTATCTATCTTTTGCAGGTTGTTGGAAAACCGGGGCCAACAGTAAAGAGGATTTCAGGTCTTAGCATACTAGACAACAATGGTGTGAACCTTGTGTCGATATTGCTGACCACTGTGTTGACTTCGGTTGCCTGTTTATATGTGTTCTGAAACAGATTCATTTTACTGAATGATCTTCCAAGTAAGAGATCATATAGTTGGATTATTTGCATTTTTGCAAGCAATGTGTACTACGTTGTATACTTTTATTCTCATAAGTTTGACAGTTTTGGTGATTCTAACCTATTTCTCAACGAAATACTATGTGAAGGATTAGGTGGTATGGTTAGATAAAATAAGCCCTTCTGGATGGAGTTGACAAAGGAGAGCAGCCCCTTGTTCTTGCAAAGTCCATTCCCTCATGCTCTGAAACTCCTTCAATAGGATTGCAAGCGAACCGAGTTGTTCATAAATAGTTTGGGCTTAGCTTGTTTAAAGCTAGTTTGATCTTGGCTAGCTTGCTAAAGAAACGAGTTCAATTTAAATTTTTATGCTCATTTAGTAATCAAGTTGAGCTCAAGTAGACCTAAGCTCCGCTCGAATAGGCTTGTGAACATAATTATATATAAAATAATGTTTAGTCTTTATGATATGTCAAATATATTTTTATTAGTTTATTCTATTCTTTTATCTATTATTGGTGTTTGTACAAATTTAGTTATATATTTGATTAATGGAATTCATTAATAATATCATTATTATTTTATATTTTGTTCATAATCTTATCTCTCTTTTCCCCCTCTTAATGTGCATATTAATTTATGGTTTTTCCCTTTCAAACTTAGCTCATTTATGTAGTTGAGTTGACTCGAGCTGAGCTCAACTTTCTCAAATAGTTGATGAGCCAAGCTCTAGTTCAATTTCTGAAGCTTGACAAATTTTCCGCGAACTGAGCTTGAACAGTCCAAAGCTCAGTTTGGCTCATTTGCCGAGTCATATCCTTCACTTTGGTTGAACAAAAAAGGTTCGATCTTGTTCAACTATTGCATGGTCAAAACTATAATCTTAAGAATACTTAAATTAAAGCCATATTATGAGACCGCTAGGGTCTTAAGCTGCATGTATGATTCATAGAAGTCTGGGCAATTTGTCAGTTACCTTTATTTCCATTTGTAGGAATGCACTTCCAACAGTCTGGTTAATAGGAAAATGCTTAGAAAGCTCGCACTGCACTTCTATTTCTTCTTTGCTATTTCAAACATTTTTGAGTCTGAACCATATTATTGATCTTATAGATGGTTCCCATCTGGGCAATCTATGCTCCAAATGTGGTGACAAGTTGTTTGGGTGATTTTAGGTGCAGTCATTCACCAGTTTATTTGTAAACCATTTTCTGCTCACTTTCTTGATGGTATGTGCATCCATACTTTAAAGATGTAAGTAGTAGGTCTCTGAATTCTAGATAGGACTGTAAATGAGTAAAATTGAGTTGAGTAATAAATAGTTCAAATTTGATTTCAAAATTTCAAAAATGTGTTTGAGGTGGGTGTATTTATCTTTTGAGCTAATTTCAAATGAGTTTTAATTAAGTTCCAGTAGCTTGTTTTTGTAGAGTGCATATAAAGCTCAGAAAGTTTCAAAATATGACTTGTTTACTTGATGAGTTGAACACTATCTGAATTCAACTTTTGTTAGTTGAACACTAATAAAGATTGTGTCCTCTATCACACAGGTGGAATTTACCTTTTCTGACATGTGAGAGAGCTATGAATTTATAAATTTTTCTTCAAATGGTATTTAAAATTTGATTATCAAACATTATTAAATTTTTACATGTTTGCAAAGAGAGTAATGACAGTGCTGCCGTTTTGCATAAGAAAAAGTGCGGTAACTCTGACAATTCTTGAAAAAAAATGGCTCATCGCTGAATTGATTTTCAAATTCATTGAACAGTCTGGACAAGAAGATTGTTACACACCTATATTAATGACATATAAAAAATTCAATTTTGGACATACACTTGCACAAATACATAGCCAAAATTAGAATTTTTGTTTGTCAATAATGCCAACGTGTCACAATCTTATTCCTTAACAGAACCTTATATTTGTGTTTTATCTAATTTATGGAGGCAATTACAACAAAATCATCTACAACAGGTTCTTTCTACTCCCCAGTTAAGGTGTTGATACAATTTATCCCTATATGCAGAGAGTCACCGTAGCTCCTCTAAATTTCTAAAATTATTATTTTATTCATAATTTAAATTAAAAATGACGAACAAAAATAAAATTTATATAGAATAGAAAAATTATAAGGAGTATTGAGGCCCGTCACAAAAAGCCACCAATGTGGTGTTTGTATGTTGAATTTGTAGAAGCAAGAGAAAATAAGAAGAAAAAAGTGAACAAAAAATGTCACTTCTACTTCATTAACTTACTCTTTACAAATCTTTCATCAAATTCAAGATCCAAACAATCCAAACACAAACTATGTGATCCAAACAAGCAACAGTTGAGGTACAATTCACAACCATACCAAGTCAAGAAAAAAACATCATTTTGCTCAACACAGATACAAACCCAACAGACAAGAAAAAAAAAAACTGTTGCAGACTATCACCATCTTCATACCTGCTTGACTTGTTGCAGACTATTAAAGCATACAAACAAGAAAAAAGACTGCATAAACAAACAGCCTTCAAATAAGGATTTCGATGGCATCGATGTGGGATTGCCCCATGAATGGGCCGGCCATTCTTCCCTATAAAAAGCCAATACAAACCCTCAAGGCAGCAGCGCCGCCACTGCTCAACCAAGCTTCTATTGAACCCCATACATCAAATAATACCCACCCTAATTGACATCCTAAATATATCCATATTTCAATAACAAGATCATAAATTGCAATAAAAGCTGCAACCTCTATGATTTTTCACATTCAATATCAATACCGTTGTCACAGGCTCGCAATGAAAAGCTTCTAGTCAAGTTATCAGCAGGTAACAGCACAGGCTGCAGGTTTTATCAGACCCGAAACGTTACTACGAGCAACGGAAAATTGAAAATCAGCAGCGGTTTCAAGGCGCTCCCATGTCAATCGTCGCCTCTCAGCTGCGACTCTGGACTTCGAATCTTCTTCGGCAAACTTGCCTTGGCAGGCGAGCACGAGCTCTTCGTCCATCTCATAGAACATTTTCCGCACATTTTGTGTCAGGTTGAGAACCGCTTGGTTCCAGTGGTTTTGGGTGTTCCGCTCCAGAGCTGAGAAGATGATAGGGAAAATCACTTGCCGGTGAGGCATGATGAGATTGAGGATGTGGTCGTTGTTCCATAAGAAGTGCGCTCGTTCAGCTACCTGAAAATGATTGGAAAAAGAGGATAATAAGCACATGATTTTCAGTCAATACACCAAACCAGCCTGACATGAGACGCCTGACACGTGCGATGCCAGCCTTGAGCATACTCACTACCTGACTTGATCAAGATATGATGAGAGAGAGAGAGAGAGAGAGAGAGAGAGAGAGAGATCAACAATTAAAAAATAAAGTTTTTGTGTCCCTGGAAATTACAGGAAGGGAAGAACGGTCCACGATTCCCCTACTGTTTTGCGGTGCAAGTGCTGCTCCATTTCTACAAGCACAACTTCAGAAACGGCGGAGCTCTTTAGGGTGCTTTCAGGCTCATAACTACATGACTACTGTAACTAGAAAACACTAATACCCTAGCAAATTATGTTTTGGAATGCACGTTCCAAAACATGGTACTTTTATTCCAAAACGATATATTTAGCGATCTAAAGCAATTCCAAATATTTTTTTTCCAATATTTTTCCTAAAGAGTTACTTAGAAATAAAAAATCAAATATAATGAATTAAAATCTATTTGACATAACAAATGTTAAAAATGAGTTCTAATACTTGCAGAGAAATGTGGTGTTACATGACTAATTTAGAGGGGAAAAAACCTATATTTTATTATATCTCTAATCGTTAAAAAAAAAATTTATTCCAGAAGTTTCTTTAATTCTTATAGTTTACTCTATACAAGTCTACTCTTCCCGTTCTGCGTACTGGAACAATTCACGTTCTAGGTAACATAGTATGTGACACACATTTAGAGTATGAGAGAGATGGTATTTGGATGCTAAATTGGCACCAACAATGACATCCAAGCTGTGTCGGCAACATGATTTACACAACAGAAATTGCAGGTCCACTGTAACCATTTATCATGTAATCTCAGATATCTCTGACAGCATTAACAAGATATGCTGAATATGAGGGAATGTTATAAAACTACATAATCAATTTGAAAGTCTTATTCTGCTATGTGTTCTACCCACGTGTCATGTCCTTACCCCGTACCATCCAGAATAAAAAGAACCTGTGATCTTCAGTTAATCTATCCTTTCAAGCAGCTTGATATAAGCAAATGGTATAACAGATTAAGGGGGTTATAACACAATCCATAGGGTTGCAATATAAGACTTTTGCTGATTTTCTTCTTATCACACACCCCAAAGATGTAGGAAAGTCACTCCATTGCTAAGAAGTTCAGACACAGACAACAACACGGACACGGAAATGGAAATCTTTAATAAATGCAGGACACAACATGCCAGGGTTACTTGCAAAATATATAATTTTATATATGTATCATATATTTAAATTTTAAATATTTATTCTCTTGAAATTCAAGAATTTTGGGTATGACACTCCAAGGAAATAATAATAATAATGGGGCACCACATGTCCCTAGCGCATCACTTCCTCTAGCTTGTCCGGAGCCAGTCCAACATGTACATGACCTCCAAAAAGGTGATCGTGCATCATAGCTCCTTGTGATTCTTTTATAAAAATGATGTCAGTGGAAGAATCTTCTGTCTTGAAGATACCAATTTAAAAGCATAGTTGGCTTAAAAAAGTTCATGCCACATGTAAAGAAAATTGATTCCAATATTGGAGCTTGGCATGGCATCCCACCCCATCAACGGAGCCCAACTTCAATACTATTGTTGTCTGCCTATTTTCAGTGCAATTCAAAGTAATAAGTATGTGCACACAGTTACTACAAGAACATGTAAATTTCAATTTAAGAATAAATATTTTTTTCGGAGTTCTATTTATGTCTGGTAATGAACAACTTTTTATTACACCAACCAAGATATTCAAGGAGCTTCAATTTAAGAATAAATACTTCTGCCTACGTTCTATCCTCTTCTTGCACCAAGTGTGTTGGTGTATGTGCTTATGATGTGGACAAAAAAGGTGTCGGATGAGGAAAAAATCAAGCACATTTGGAAACTAAGATTTTTAGAAATTATATCAATATTAGACTATTAGGGCGGATTTAATTATTTGGAGAGTTTTATATTTTAGAAACTCTTAATTAGGGTTTTTTGGATGCCTATAATTAGACCGTTATGTATTAGGTTTATTCAGCTTTGAATAGATGAATTGAATTGAGAGAATTTAGTTTTGAGTAATGCGAATTTCTTTTTCTTTTTCGGGTTTATTCATTTTTTGTCACATTATTTCTATTCTCCAGCCATCCTACACCAGCTTGTCTCTGTGTATGTACACACTGCATGTACGTGCATGTGTCCTGCATTTGTGCATCCCATGATATATAGCAACAGAGATACTTTCAGGCCTCATCTTTGTTAAGAAGGGGCAGTGTGGTTACATTTCCATTGTCTGCAATAAAACCAATCGCTTCCCAGTCAACATGCCACTTGTTTTCCTATTACTATTATTCCCCTATTAGTTGCATGATAAAAACCAATCAAGCAATGTAACATATAATTTCATTTCTACAAATGTAACTAGATGCCTCAAAAAGTCGAACATATTCATATCAAATGTTGAATTTTGTTAATGCATCTTTTTGGCTCAAATCATGGAGTTTCCAAGGCAGGGTTACCCCAGTTAGGGCTACCCCAATCTGTGTTTACATGAACTCTTATATTTCCCCAACGCACCAGTGTCCACCGGATATATATAAAAGGGTAAGGGTGTAAGAAATACGTGTCTGACACCTATACCCAATTGGGTCCTCTAAATTTTATGTTTGAAGAAGAAGAAGAAGAAGAAGAAGAAGAAACTCACATTTTCTACCCAAAAAACATGTATAGCCTCACATGGATAAGAGATATAAGTTCCATATTTTTTCCTAAATTCTATTTAATTTCTAGTGCATTTTACATAATTTATAACATCTCATCCAAAAATATTATACAATGTGCAACATATTTAAGTGCTCAAAATGCATCTCCATACCCATATCCAACTTTTGGATACATATCCCAACATCCTATGATTCAAATTTATGAAGGTCACAAGCAACCTACACAGTAAGAAGTAAACAGAAAATACAAGAATTACCTGGAAATGGGAGCTGTTGAGGCAGCATCCTATACGGCGGAATAATGGGACCATGATATTTTCGAACTCGGTCGTGTTAATTTTTTCCAAGATCTCTTCCAACTCGCTCAAGAACATCAACTCCTTCTGGCTACTTCTTACTGGCCAGTATTTCAACAACCCCTTAATCACCGTACTGGCCAACCTTGGCTCCTTTTCTACAAACTGTACAATGCAATATGTTAATTGCTGATGATAAATACCCACTGATTTAGGTTTGTGCAGAGGAATCAGAGCCCTCCATAGAAACATCTTGTGCTCCTCCTTCAACGGTATAGCAAATCCGGTAATTACACTCCCAAAAATCTCCAACAACTCGGCAATTCCATTATGACGCTCGGTTTCAAAAACAAAACGGTAAATAATATTGCTCACGGACTTTCGAATATGAGGCCTGTGCACCATGAACTTCGCATAAACTCGATGCAGAATAGTTTTCAAACAATCTCGTTCTCTTGGGTCCTCCGAGTCAAACAGGTCAAGTAATCTTGAAATAAAAGAATGGTCTATAAACTTTTTTGCTACCTTTACATCAAGAGAATTATAACTTATAAATCCAAGGAGTAGGTCATAAACAAGTTGTAAATGTGACCAAGCAGGATCGAATGTTGGTTCGTCATCTTCAGTTTCGCCACGAGCAGAATAAGACCGGCACTTGGGTGGAAAATCTCTAAATAGATTAATCGCACACATTTTACACATTGAAGCAATTGCGGGTTCCGTAAATTTTGCAGATCCAGATGCAACAAAATCAACAAGTTCTACCAGTGTTTGACATTTAAGATCTTTCTCTGCACAGTTCTTATCAGAGTTGTTGAAATCATACGTTGAACAACATAGGTTTAACTTGCTGACAAACAGGTTTTGCTTCTCTGAATTTGAAACATCTTTGAAAGACACATGGGGCTCCATCATTTCCACTGCAGCAGCGTTGCTTGATGGAAAAATTGCTGAAGACATTCGTTTGACAACATTCAATCGAGCCGACACAACATTGCAACTGTTGGTAAATTGGATTCCATTGCCCAAGTTGGCAGTATTGTTACCAGAATTACTCCCAGTGGAATCTAATGAATCTGCTTTTGATGACTTCCGTGGGAGTTTTCCCAGAATTTGCTTGAGCATGGTAGCAATGCTCTTCAGGTAAGAGAAAACCTAAGCCAATATGAAAATCAATTTATAATGCAAAATTTAGGGGGAAAATGAAATGGAGCGATAAATTAATACAAACAAGAATTTTATTAGTACATGGCTAGCAAGAGGATATACATATATTCTTCATATCATAGCATGCAAAACGGTACTTTAAGACATGCATGCACAATTTACGCATTCATCAATCCTCAAGAAATAAACCATAGATAGAGAAGGAAATTATTGAAACAACCCATAGCAAGGACAGTTCAGGCAGCTACAAATAGTGTGTATATTACAATTAAGTGTCAGTATAACCATTATTTGCTTAGGTTTTCAATTTTTATTGCTTTTGAAAGCAAATTTCTGTGTATTTTTGTTCAAAAAAGCAAGAAAGTACTTTTAAATGCTTCCTAAGAAGAACCTAAAGAGGAAATCATGATCACAATCCCAAAAAAAAACAAAACAACAAAGTGATGCGAAAAACAGTCAAGTAGTGATGGAATCGTATTAGAGTCCAACATTATTCATTGGATTCTTGCAGTAAAACAACATAATAAACTTTGCGAGCAAATAAAAATAGATAAAAATAAATTCCAATTTCTATTTTTCGAACCCATTTTCAGGATGAAATGCTTCATGTGCCACTATTTGTTCAGCTAATGTTCTGTAAAATGTTTAACTAAACACAGACACACAAAGATTGGCATATTTACACATCAATTTCAACCCTTTTGGCCTCATTCATTCAGCATCAACAATATTTCTTTTCCAGATTTCATTTTCATTCAAAAACAAACAAAACAATTAAAAGGAACAATTAAGAAAACCTACAGTCAAATTTGGCTCGGTACTGACAACGCCAAGCAACCAGAACACCTAGATCACAGTTTTAACAACCTGAAGAGTCATTCAATACACAAATAAGCATACAATTTACGTAATCCATACATACATACATATATATATATATATATATAAATGTATGCAAACAATTTCTTCAGATATCACAGGAATTGGTCGTTAAAGCTACAGATCTGGGACAAGAATGGGAAGAAGATGAGAAATGAAGAAGGATCTACCACTTGAACAACACAAACACCAAAACCCATATTACTAGTAAACCAAAATTACCAAATTAAAACAAAAAAACACCCGGTTCAGTCCTATTGGAGACTGATCCAGAAAACTCACATTAGTAATGAACCAAAATTACCAAATAAAAAAGAAAAAGAAAAAGAAAAAAAAAATTAGTTCCTAAATTACCAAATTAAAACAAAAAACACTCAGTTTAGTCCCAATTAGAGACAAGTCAAGAAAACCCACATTACTAGTGAACCAAAATTACCAAATCAAAACAAAAAAAACACCAAGTTTTAGTCCCTAGTGGAGACTAATCAAGAAAACCCACATCACTAATGAAGCAAAAATACCAAATCAAAACAAAACAGACAAAAAACAGCCAATTTAATCCCCATTAGTATGCATACAATTCTGAAAATGCAAATAATCCCTTTGAAGATGAAAATCAAATTGGGTAAACTCAACTGACTCCAGATTTGTATGAAGAAAACCTAGAGAGAGAGAGAGAGAGAGAGAGAGAGAGAGTACCTGCGTGTTGGTGGTAGAAGTGGGAGTGATGAGATTTTTGTTGGGTAGCTGAGCTTAGCTTAGCTTAAGCAAGTTACAGAGATGGAGATTGGGAGTGAAGAATGTGAATGGGTAAGTCATCAATTGCGTTGTTTGCTTTAGATCGAAGGCGTAATGATGAATCTTGGAGGGAGCCCCATTTGAGAAAATACGTATAGCATCGAATGTATTTTGTATTGATTGATGACGATGATGATGATGATAATGACGACGATGATAGTGATACAAAAATGTGGGTTGTTGCTGTTGTTTGTTTGTTTGATATGAATCGATTTTTTTAATGATTTAAATAAATATATTTTTTAATTTAAATAAATATATTCATCTAAATAAATGCATTAATATTAATCATGTCAAATAACTCATAAGTGTATCAAAAATGTTAGAAGTCTCAAAAATTCTATCAAAAATTTTACTAAATATTTTACACATTGTGTAAGTCCCACGTTCATATAAGACATTTAATACCTGAATTTTCAGAAATTACATCCCGCTCCCTGAGGTTTGTATTTTCATAACAATTTACCCCCTGAGGTTTATATTTCATAGCAAATTACCCCCTAATTTCTTATGCAAATATAACATTCAGGGAGAATTCGTAACTTCTCAAACGTCAAGGGTATCTGTAATTTAGCCAAACCTCGAGGGGATATATGTAATTTGCCCTTTAAATAAATATATTCATCTAAATAAATGCATTAATATTAATCATGTCAACTAACTCATAAGTGTATCAAAAATATTAGAAGTCCCAAAAATTTTATCAAAAATTTTACCAAATATTTAACACATTATATGAGTCTCACACTCATATAAAACATTTAATAAAAATTTTAATAAAATATTTAAGTTTTCTAACATTACTGTAAGTGTGTTGATGGATTAGTAGTACTAGTCTTCTCGATTGAAGTGCGACATAGGTGGTATCTTTTTCACCGGATGGAGATAGTTTTCTTTGCAATAATTCTTTGTACTACTTGCTTTTTCCTTTAAAAAAATAAATAAATTATATATTATTTTAAAGAAAGTTAATATAATTTATCAAAAAAAAAAAACACAAAAGAAAAAGAAGGAAACAAATAAATCATTGTACTAGTTGGGTTAATTGTATATTGTCTGTCATCAATCGAAAGTAACAACACCATCGGGGTGGTGGCCTAGTGGAGAAAGCAACTCGTCTCCACAGGAATGACTCAGGGTTGAATCCTGGGAGGGAGTGTGGAAGTGTTCTCTTTGAGACCTCCCCTCTGTACTCCGTTTTGAACCCTCGGCGACCTGTGGGGTATAGTTGAGCTCCTCTGGTGCCTCGGTGGTAGGTCCTTCACATAGTGGGGGTTAATTCCTGACTGACAACCGGTTACCCCAGGGTCAAGGCCCACAGGGCCGTGATCTCAGAGCCCTTTTTTTCTGAACAAAAAAAAAAAAAAAAAATCAAAAGTAACAACGGTGATTATAATTTTGACATTGACAATTGAGAAGTGGATTAAAAGTCATTTCTTAACTTTTAACTCACTTTCCTTTCTCATAAAAAAGTTTTAAAAAGTTAAAAAGTATTTTTTATGCATTTTTTCAAAACATCTCAAATCAACTTATGATTGACGAATTGATAAAGGAAAATGTTTAGGAACTCTAATAGAAGAGTTTTAAAGAGAGTTTTAATAATAGGTTTCATTATGTGATGTGATGTTTTAATTTTTATATTTGTCTTTTTTTTTTTATTTTTGCTTTGTCACATCGAACTCATATTAGATTCTATTTTTAAAACTCTGTATCATTGCTCATTAATAAATTCGCTAGTATTTGTAATCAAATTATAATTTGAGCAATTTTATTTTATTAATTGATTAAAAATAATTAAAAATATTTTTTTAAGTATTTTTATAACATATAGTATTAATTTATATAATATCTTTCAGAATTTATAACATTAATTGATTTTACATAATATTATATATATATATCATTAATTTGTCAAAATTTATATCTAAAATCTCTCTTATATTGATTTTTATTTCAATATTTCATCGAAAGTAAAAATGTATGTATTAAGTATGATGGGGCAGAATAGCTTCGAAAACATATTATTTTAAGAGATTCAGCCTTCGTTTGGAAAGTGGATTGACTTTTTGACTATTTTAACCTGAGCTAAAAAACTTGATTTTGTTGGAGCTAAAACTAGACTTTGCTTTTTGACTTTGTTATGGTTAAAATAACCTATTTTGTCTTTTATAACATTTTACTTAACCATATTGGCTATGTAATACAATACAACATAATGAAGTGGATTATTGAATTTCATCAAATTGGGCTTTGCTTTTTTTGTGATTTTTTTATTAAATTTTTATTTTTAGTGACCTTATTTTTAATTTTAAAAAGAATTTACTTTTCTAAATTCTACTTAGACTAGACAAACTGAAAAGTTTTTTTAAAAAAAATAAAAATTAGAAAAGAAAAGTCCAGAAATGACCACCCAAAAACGTAAAAATATTGGCTTTTTCATTTTTTTTAGTTTTTTTTTTTTTTTTTTTTTTTTTTTTTGATAATTGTTGAAAAATCCAACCTAAAGAAAGTCTAAGGTATCAAGTCTAGTAGATATTTTTTGTTAGTAAAAGATCTATCTTTTGTTAAATAATTTGGTGAGAAATCCTTTTGTTTATTTTAAAGGACATTTTATTTTTAATTTTATCCCCTTAATTTATCTGTTTACTTTTTTTTTTATTTGTTGATTTTTGATTGACTATTTGTTTGACTTTTTGTTAACTATTTGTTTAAATTTATATCTATCTGTTTACTTTTTGGAAGTCTAAGGTATCAAGTCTAGTAGATATTTTTTATTAGTAAAAGATCTATCTTTTGTTAAATAATTTGGTGAGAAATTCTTTTGTTTATTTTAAAGGACATTTTATTTTTAATTTTATCCCCTTAATTTATCTGTTTACTTTTTTTTTTATTTGTTGATTTTTGATTGACTATTTATTTGACTTTTTGTTAACTATTTGTTTAAATTTATATCTATCTGTTTACTTTTTTTTATTTATCTGATCAACTTTTTCCCTCTCTGTTCAAATTTTGTGAGTTACTCTATCTATCTGTTCAAATTTTGTAAGTTGATATTTGTTCTTATTTGTTGATATGTGTTCATTTTTATTATCTGCCCAATTTTTTTACCTATATGTTCAATTTTTCCTTGTTGAAATATGTGTTAATTCTTGTTCTATTTTTTATATGTACAAATTTATTAGTTCAAACTTTATTTCTCTATCTAATGAAATCTTTTTTTGTCTATTTAAGTTTTTGAACCTATCTGCCTTTTATCTGTTCAAGTTTTTGAACAGATCTGAAAAACAAAAAAAAACGAAATTTCAACCAAAAAAAAACACTCAATATCTATTCAATTCTTCAAGCAATATTTTCAACAAGAAGCCAGATCAAAAAAGTAAAAATAAAAAACTTGAGCAAATAGTAAAATTCTGGAGCCGATTTGGCTTTCAAACAGGATCATTTATGCTGGGTTTGGTTAGAAAATTTAGAGAGAAATTTTTTAAAAAAAAAAAAATATGTAAAACTACGTAAAATATAAATATATTTTTTTCACATTTCCCTTGCCATTTCTATTTTCCTTTTCAAATCCCTCGTCAAATCCCTTAATCAAACACAAATCCCTTAACCAAACACAGAATTAGGAAAACCTAAATCAACAATTTTATTAAAGTAAATATATATAATAATATGTATTTAATTAGATATATATTCATGTATGTTGAAGATATTGATGAGCAAAATTGAGGCTTAGATTTGTGTTTAAATCAGAGATGAGAAAGTATTCCCACCATGGCTGCAACAACAGTTGCCCCTTGAGAGGGCCTTCAGTGTTGCCCCGCCATTAAAATAGGCAAAAACTCTTTGATCATTTGAATGAACTCAAAAGAGAAATATTATCATCACGACGTCTTATATGTATCTACATAGTTATCTATATATCATCATCAGCAGCAGTAGCAACAACGAATAGAATCTCAGATTTGGATTTGATCTGTTCTTATCCTGCAATTCCACCGCCGCTGACTGGAGAGCCGAAGCGATCAACGGCGGATCTGTCAAACTTATGAACCTCCACAACAGATCCAACGGCTGGGCTTCACCCCCAGGCGATCTCTTCTCTCTCCGATCCAAAAACTACCTCACCACCACCAAGAAGCAAAATCTAAGATCACACAGAGAGACGAAGGCTCTGAGAGTGAGTTTGTTTTGCCATGGCGAAACCTCCGTCTCCGGCCGCCTCGACTGCCTCATCGCCAACGCGGACGTCCTCATCAAGAGCGACGTTCTTCATGACGGTAGCGGAGGACACAGGAGAAGATCTTGAAGCATATCGAAACTGCCGCTTTCAGCGAGCTTCCGATGGCACACTAAACTCTAGATCGTGATCGTGATTTGCCGCCAGTAGTAGAGTTGCAGAGGAACCAAGAGAGGGGAGTGATGGAAGAGAAAGAGGAGTTATGTTTGGATTTTGTGATTTGAAGAGAAAAAAAATGGGATGGAGGGATATGTATTTATTTTATTTATTTGGATAATTGGAGAGAAATGAGAAGAAATGGAGTAAAATTTAATTTTTTTATAATTTTTATTTTTAATTTTTTCAAAAGTGGAGAATTAGAAGAGAAAAGAAATCAATATATTTATATATTTTTATAATATTAATTTTGTCTCCGTAAAAATAAAAGAAATAAAATAATTGACAAAATATAAAAAGATTATTTTGATAATATAATATAAAACAGTTTATTTTCTTTTCTCTTATGAAATCTAACCAAATAAGAATTAAAGAAATCACAATCATTTCTTTTCTTTTATCTCTTACTTATCCAAACAAGAATGAGAGAAATCGCAATCATTTCTTTTCTTTTCTTTTCTTTTCTCTTATAACTTATAAGTAACCATTTCTTTTCTTTTCTCTCCTAGGTAGGTTCCCAAACTCATAATTATTTTTTTTCTTAACTCTTATAATTTAATTAATCATTTATTTTTCTTTTTTTTTTAACTTCCAAACCTAGTGTTAGGGTTTCAATAATGAAGATGAGAGAGAAATATGTATAGACAGAGAGAGATAGTTGGAGAGAGAGAGACATGTAGAAAGAGAGAGTTTGAAAAAATAGGAGGTTGAAATGAGATGAGAGACGATAGGTATATATATCTATATATATATATATATATATATGAGTGTTT